TTCCCTAAATCAGACCAGAACCCTGTACTGCAGGATAAAGCTGAATGTGCCAGTGCTGGACAGGTTTTTTAATGACTGTGACACACGGCCTGATTTTCGGCTGAGCAGGGAGGCCCTGACATTGCTGCTGGATCTTCTGAGAAGTGAACGGTAACACGGTTGGGGTGCTACAATCGAGACCCTGGTGTTTCTTTTCTGGCTGGCGTGTGGTACATAATACATAGTGGTTTCCAGAGTGTTTGACGTGCCTCGTTCCACTGTCCACCGCATTGTCCACCAAGTTGCTGAGGAGGTGCTGGCCATTCACCACAAAGTGATTCACCTCCCGAAGACCCCAGAAGACCTGGAGGCAGTTTGCCGTGGGTTTGCAGGGCTGGCAAGACACAGAGCTTTCTTGAAATCTGCAGGAGCAATCGACGGTTGCCATGTCCGCATCAAGCCACCAAGCGGCCCTGATGGTCAGTGCTACAGGAACAGGAAACTGTTTCCATCTATTATCCTGCAGGCTGTTTGTGACCATCAGGGCCACTTCATTGACACCTACGTGGGCTGGCCTTGGTCAGTGCATGACGCACGAGTGCTCCACCACAGCCCACTGTACAGGAGGTCAGTGTACCCTCCTCCAGGGCACTTTATCCTGGCAGACGGAGGTTACCCATGCCTCCGACACATACTCCCCCTCATCACTCCCTACAAGAGACCAGTACAAGGTGTGGGAGCCCAGCGCTTTAACGTCCATCATTCCAGGGCACGCTCCATTATAGAGCGTGCTTTTGGGATGATGAAGACCAGGTTCAGGGCCATCTTCCTGCAAGCACTGGAGGTGCACCACACCTTTGTACCTCACGTAAGTGAATTTAGTGAAGTGAAGACATTTTTAAAATACTGTAAAGGAATAAACAGATTTATTTTTCTGAAGATGTACTTTTGTTCCCTTTTTTACCATTTCAGGTCATAACAGCCAGTGCCATCCTCCATAACATCTGCCTTGGGCTAGGTGACATCATGGCCCGGGAGGATGAGCATGAGGAGGATGTGGCAGAGGAGGAGCATGCTTTGGAGACAGTCAGTGGTTCTCCCTGGCGTGACCAGCTGTCTGCAGAGATGTCTGCCCTGGAGGAGGTAACCGCTGACCACATCTATTTGTAACGGGCAAGTAAGAGGCATCATAGTTTTACAATTCTAAGACAAAAATTAAATGGACCATAAAACTGTTTTGTACATAGAAATATTTTATGGTTTGAGTGTGCAAGTTAATTTCATTTATCCTTCCCTTTCTGAAAACATCTCAGTGATATGACAGCCGTCGATTGTGTCAGCCCTGCAAACCTGTTGGTAGACAATGCAGTGGACAGTGGAAATATGCACTCCAACACTCTGGAGACCATCCCAGATGATGTCCCACCAGCAGAGAGGCCTTACCAGGGTCTGTATTGTGGCAGCCCATCCAGGTCCAGCAGCTCCACCAGGGCCTCCCTGCTCAGCTGAATGACAGTGTACACAAAAATGTTTTGTACTGTTTTACATTCTGTTAATTTAAAATTGTATGTTGTTTTTCTGAAGGTAAACCTAAGTTATGTTGTAAATGGTTGTAAAAAGTGCTTTTAGTAATGAATAGAACAATTTGTTTTAATGTGTAAAAAAATATATTTACAGGACAAAAAAATAATAGTATTGAATATTGTGTAAAAATACGAAGCCCCTAAAGGGACCTTTGCGAAAATAAAAAATACACAGACTTTCGCGTGCTCACGAGAAACGTATGGCGTGCACACGCCTTCGCAATTTCCGGTTTAGGCATTTTGCATTAGCATCATTACTAATGCGGGGGTGAGAGTGTTTAGAACTTAATTTTTCTAAAGGTCGCAACATGGAAGATGATTTTGTTGATTTTTTGAGGTCACGAGATATTTCTCAAGATTCATTTGAGAAAATAAAAGAGGATAAGGTAAATTGTGTTACAGTTAGGCTATAATTAATTCATATGCATGCTTTCGTCGCCAATGTATTTATAGCTGACATTTCCTTTTAGATCAACATAAGTGTCATTGCAATTATGACTGAAGACGAACTTGCGAAATATATCGTTAGATAAGGGGATCGTCTTGCAGTTAGAGCATTTTGCCGTCAAAGACTCGCAGCATGTGAAACCACCAAGTCCACTGCACTGCAGAGATTATGAGACAAGATCCAAAAAGGAGGCAGTACATCAGCAAATGACGGGGGTTTATTAAGCAAACTTTCAGGTATCGGCAACAAACATGCATCTAAAGAGACAAGACGACTGGAAATTGGGTGGCTTCATTTTCATAAAGGAGAATTTCACCAGGTTCGGACAAGACATGGAGGAGGAACGCGACATGTGACGGTTAAAAAGAGCACTTCGGTTGAGGAACTAATGATGATTGGGAAGGATTTGTTTTTTCCTAAAGGGATTTCTTCAAAAGGCCCAGCTGAAAGCTATACTTTTGAGATGCGAGATTTCAGCCAGACCACAATTACATTCAGTATTACAGTGAATGAACTGTATGAGCAGAGTAAACTCAGAATGCTATTTTGACAATGGCTCACAAAGTCCTCCTTCAAGAGCCCAAATTTATAATTGACTGCTTCCATACCATTATGCCAACTGGCAATTCTGAATTTGACCAGACAAAGCATACTTGAAGCATACGAGTCAAAGAAAGCTACAAACAAGAAAGTGTCACAAATGATAAAGCCAGCAAAAGATTACTTGAACCAGCAAGAGCAGCTGACCCTTAATCATCTGCAGCGCTACGTGAAAAATCTAGACCAAAGAAAGCTGGAGACCTTCCTACGATTCTGTACCGGCTCTACTGTCATGTGTAAAGACAAAATCGAAGTCATGTTTAATGGATCATGTGGCCTTGGACGTAGGCCTGTTGCACATACCTGTGGAGCAGTTCTCGACTTACCATGTACATACAGCTCTTACCCAGAATTTCGTGCAGTTTGACAATGTACTAAATGGAGATTGCTTTGCAATGGACATTCTGATTAAATTAACTGCAATGAGATGGAGTAAGTCAGGTTAAGCTTATTTTGTGTACACCAGTGGTTATACGGTTTTATTTTTGTGTTGTTATTTCATGCAATTTTTTCTTTGTAATGTAATTTAATAATTCTTGAAATTCTTGAGTAGTTTCTAAGATTTTATAGTTTGAATAGCTTTAAAGATGTTTTAAGATTTCGAAGTTTTATGGAGTCGAGTTTCAATTTCCGTTCTAAAGAAATTTGAGTTTTATACAAAAACATTCAATTCCACTGAATTGAAAGAAGATAGAATAGCTATGCTGTACACGAGTTTATAGTTGCAAATATTTGTTACAAATCAGAAGCAGTTATTAAATACCCTGTTAAATAATGTGTTAGATAACCGTTTTTAGTGTTTAGAATTAGACATGGAGGAGATAATGTAAATCATTATGTTTCATCCCTATTGGTTTGAGGGGAGTTAAGCTTGTTATTCAAAACTTCTTGTATAGAAGTATTTTTATACACAAACAGGTTCATACATTTCAGGCAAACGGTCTTCTAATCTATTCCTTTTCCATTTTAATGGGGGGAAAAAAAACAGACAGTTTCTTACGCACTGTAATTTTAATCCATTTAATATTCTTGCCACCTTGCCATTTTTTTCTTTCCTTTACAATTTACTGTAATGCAGAAAAACATGTTAGGTTTGAGTATCCATGCTTGTAAACATTGTTAGATGTCAGCAATACATTGTCTGTATTAAAGTATAATAATCAATAAAATGACCCCAACTGTGTTCTTAACATCTTTCTGTATTCAGTGCATTTGATGCTTATTAAATTATATCAAGGGAGAGAAAAGAAATCTGCATACGCGTCTAAAATGATAGTTCACAAGAAAATCACAATTCTGTGAACAAGACTGACTTTTTTTTTGAGGAACACAAATGTTTAGCAGAATATTAGGCATCAACAGCCTCAGAAAACATTCACAACAATTGTATGAAAAATGGTGACAGAGGATGCTGATAACTGCTCAGTGCACATTCTGCTAAACATTTGTGTTCCACAGAAGAAAAAGTCTGAATTTGGAAAAACACAATGGTAAATAAATGACAGAATTTTCATTATTTAATAAGACTGTAATAGAAAGGTCCCTGCCTAAACAAACAATAACATATGCTCAATAACATTAAGTATTCTAGAGACAATTACTAGCTTAAATATTTGCATAATACATAATACAAAGTGCACCTTTAAACTGCTATACAAGCTTTTTGAAACTTCTATTGTAACATCATAGTACTTCTTTAGCATTAGCATTTGGGCATCAGATATTCTGTAAACAAAAAATGCCACCAACCCCTCTAATTTCAGCCTGAGCACAGGTTACAATAAAGTCAGTATTGCATTCCTTAGATGCAAGTATAAGTCTATTTCTTGATATGAGTCCTTTGGAAGCTCAAAGTGTGCCTCGGTCATAACAGAATTACAAATGTCATAGACATCACTGTCACAAGGTATAGATGATCGAAATGTGCATTCTGTCTTGCACAGTTGTAGGTCTCCTGTGTCCACTGGTGACATGTAGTTCTCTGTTCTGTAGAGCTCTGGGAATAAGTACATGACATAGTGTCTACCGCTTGGAACTGTCATTTTTTTGAAGGTCTTATTACATGCGCATCCCACACACGTGCAGTTTCATCCAATTCATCCTGCAATTAAATAAATAAATATAGACAAAGGTTTGCATTAAAGTTATTCAACGTGCAGTTGGGAGTGTCATTTTTTTAGTCTCTAGATCATCAATATCCATAAACACCACATTTCATTGAGGTCATCATTTAAGTGACTTTTTAATAGAAATTTAATATTTCGTAAGCAAATGGTGTTGAGAATTTTGTGATAGGTAAAATAAGTACCCCCAAAACAGCATAAACTTATAATTATAACCCCACAATTCCATGACTGTGACTTAGAATTAAAGGGATAGATCATCCAAAACATGTTGTTCCAAATCTGAATGAGTTCCTTTCTTCTGTTGAACACAAAAGAAGATATTGTTTAGAGTGCTGGTAACCAAGCAGTTTTTCTTACTATGGAAGTCAATGGCTACCATCAGCATTAAGGTAAGGAGCTCATCCAGGTTTGGAACAACATAAGGGCGAGTAAAGGATGAGAAAATTTTCAGTTTTGGAATTAAAGGGATAGTTCATCCAAGTCACACTCATGGAATTGGGGGGTTAGTTTGACCCCGCACAGTAAAAGATTAACTGTATAAAACAACATACACTTTTTATGATGCAAATTATGAATTTTTCACAAATAGGCATCAGGCTAATTTTTTTAATTAATGTGAATTTTTATTACACAATTATTTACTTATAAGGTTATGCTGTGTTTTGGGGGATATGTGGTATTTTATTTTATTTTTACTACAATACACTATGGATTATTACATTAATTCAATAAAAACTCTAAAAACGAGCAAGTGGGCAATGTTATGGATAATAACATGGATTCGCGATACTTTTGGAGAACGAGTCCCAAAGCAATGCTTTATAGCTAAATTATGCTGTGCAGCGTGCACTACATCGTTAACTTTTGTTAAGACAAAACTCACCTGGATAATTCCCAAGAAACAGAAACGGATGAATCGAACAATCCTCTGTCCTTCAGGTCAGTGAACAAAGAGATGAAAAATTCCATGCATTCTTTCCTGAGGAATCCCCACCAACTCTCTATTCGCTGTGCTTGCACCTTCTATGTAGCTGTCAATGTTGGAGTCCTGCAGAATGTTGCGTCTGAGGAAACGCTGGAAGTCTCTCACATGCCCGTTTTCTGTTCCACAGTCGCCTCTAATGATCCGAGGACAGCCACCTGAACTCTCCACTGTTTCCATGTAGTATCCTCCGATGACCTTCAGGTCACTGCTTGTTGTGAACGCATTTAGCCAAATGATCTTCCTTGAAAAGCTGTCAATACAGCCGTTTATGCAAATACCATATGGCTTTAGTTTATCATAAGAATCAAAATGCCAGATGTAATTCGGTCCTTTTGCGAAATAGTTACGCCGATGGAGACGTCGGGCTTTCCTAAATTCTACTCCACCAGGATCTAACAAGCTCAAAATAAAGCGAACATGTTCTTTTCTAATATGCAATCCATTTTCTTTACACTTTGCATGCATCCACCTGTATCCGTGGAGCTGGCCTGACGTTTGGAGTTGATGCTGAATAAATGCGATAGCGTCTTCAATACTTGAGTATTCTTTTCGTCGAAACAGGCGTCTAGACCTCAAAATGCGTTTTAAATGTCGCTCAGTGATTACATATCTGTGTTGAAATGCAAGAACAGAAACAATGTCTTTGTATTGAAGGCCAAGTTTAAAATAGATCTCAATTAATTCGTGCGCATCCATGCTTTTGTTTTCTTCTTGTAAGACGGCAGAGAGTGACGCAACCTGAAACTGTAACGCGTGAGCAAGCAGAAAGTTTCTCGTGAGCACGCAATAGTTTCTAGTGAGCACGCAATAGTTTCTCGTGAGCATGCAACAGTTTCTCGTGCGCACGTGAAAGTCTTCATTTTTTATTTTTGCAAATGTCCCTTTAGGGGCTCTGTATAAAAATGATCAGCTGCGTTAAAAAAAATTAACAATGTACATAATTACTTCTTTTTTTATTTACACATGTGAATATGCAAAACAAAAATACAAAATATACAGAAAGTACTCAGGCTCATTTACAAATAAATTACACTACAAAAATGAATAACGTACACAACTTATTCATATCATTAACTTACATCACTAAAATATACTATAATAATTAGGTTGTTTCATTGACAATGTGACATTAAAAAAAAAAGATATTTGAAAAATTGTAATGTACCCATTTTTTCCACTGCTTTCTCTTGCCTAATAGAGAATAGCTAATAAAAATGTATTTGTTGAGCATTCTCTCAAGAAGAGAAAACAGTCTCTCCATTCTCTCCTGTGCTCTTCTCTCCTCTGTCTCTCTCTGGAGTTTGATGTCCTCCCTGAGTAGCTCCACCAGCTTCCACTCACTCCCTCACCTGTCCCAGGACACTTGCAATCCTAAGGCAGAGCAAATAAACCATGCCAGTTAACAACAACAGCACAATGAATTTCAGCAAAAATGTGTCTATCAACTTGCTTACTTTGTATTTTTTAAGTCTTTCCCCAGCAGGCTCATTTTCTCCAGAATTGTCCTAAAACAAGAGAAAATGGAAACACTTGTGAAAAATATATAGACAGGTTTGCAATCTTACCATTAGAAAATATGACAGCAGGACATGCATACAAAATACAAAGTGCTAAAGTTTGGTTAAAATATTTGTAGACATAACTTGCATGACAGCACTACAAAAACACAACAAAGGGTAAGACTATTGCCTTATATAGTGGTTGTCTTATTGTTTGTGGGCTTTGTGTTAAAAAAAATCATGGCTTTTAACACTTGTTTCGCTAGGTATTTGAGTAAATGAAAACACAATACTTACATTTCAATGTGAATTCCCCCACAGAACTCTCATTCTCCATGTTCTTTGAATATAAATTCCATCGTCATCTGCGCGCAAGTAATTCTGGGATATGGTAGGGTGCGAAGTGTCCATCAGATGTACACTTCATTTTCCTAGGAAACGGAGGGTGCATTTTAAGTCGCTTTCGAATTTCGAATCTTCGGAGGGTGCACCCTGAATTGGGACAGCTTACGTTGTGACGCAATCGCACTTCAAATGCGCACTTTGGAGTCTGCGCACTTCACATTGGGACGGCCTTCGTTGAGCCGCTGTGACGCATTCGCACTTCAAATATGCACTTTGGAGTGTGCGCACTTCACTTTGGGACACAGCTTGCCTGTTGCGTAGCTATAGCCATTTTTCAATTTATAGTGCCACCAAGTGGCCAGTCACCATGGCCTTTTTCACAGACTACAGTCAT